ATATATTATATATATATATATATACATATACACACACATATATACAGTACACACACACACACACACACTTATATTATATTTATATTACAAACAAACATACACACACATCAATTTGTGAATATAAAACATAACTCCCAAGCCTTTAAAATCACACAGAGTTGGAAAGGGAATTATTTTACCTAGTCGCAACATGGTTTCATTTATTTTACTAGCTGCTTTCTCGCTCAGGAGCCCAGGGTGATTACTCTTGATAGAAAGCAATGTCATTACGCCTATAAGAAAAGTGGGGGAAACAAAGTAGTATAAAATGCCATGCATGAGGTATATTTATAAACAATTTGCAGAGCCATTTGCCCTGCAAAATTATATGTTCATCCGTTCTGTGCAAATAGAGCCAAGAAAAGAATGTTATTAGCATATTTTCTTTACAGGTTGAATGTAATGCAAAATAAATACTGCTTAGCCACTAGATGGAGCTGAAGAGCATAGGATAGAAATGTTTATTCCTACTCAACTCCATCTAGTGGCCATAATGCTCACAACTTTTTGTATGAACATTTTTTTTTACTTGTGTAAGCATTAAAGAAAAACACATAAGCAAAACGTATAAATAAAATAAAAAAAATCATTACTTTTTAAAATTAATTTTACCACGTTTTGTGCTAGAAACATGTTGGTGTGATGATAAAGGGGACACATCACAGAATTAAGTTTGTACTATTCACATGATACAAATTACATGAGTCTCATGGATTCCTTCATGCAATATTCTGCAGACGGGGGTGCACTGTACAATACGATTCATGCTGCCACTGCCCGCAGCTGTTTGCAGGTCATTAGCAAGTAATTTGCACACTCTAACAATAATGGGGTCATATGGCTAACCAGGCAGTTTGGCAGGGATGTCCGAATCGAAAAACAGGCTGGTTAGAATAATAAATCCTTTGGCAGGTAAAACAGTTTACATGCATGTGCGGAATTCTGCTTTAAACATTCTTAGGTTAAATGGCTACTGTCTAAATCGGCCCTGTGTGAATGCAAGATTTGAATCTTAGATTGTAAGCTCTTTGCAAGCAGGGACTAATGTGAATGTGCAGTACATAAAGTGATGTAAATTGTCAGCGCTATATAAAAAAAAGTACTTGGTGCTTTGGACTTTTGGGAAAAAGCTGGGTCATTTTATAACTATGGGCAGCTATCCTTTAGATCCTCGTTTCTCAACTGGTGGGTCGTGACCCAAAAGTGGGTCACCGCATGCCTTCCACTTTTCTAGGGGAGAGGCTCCTCAGCCTCCCCCTAGCGCAGCACTGTCAGTTCTCATGCTGAGTAGCCAATCAAAATATGCTGCCCGGTGCAGAGTGTCAGCTTAGGCTGGGTTCACACCTGGGCATTTTCAGCACTGAAAAACGCTCAAGAAGTGAAATCCTATTAAATGCTATGGGCATGGTTCCCATCTGGGCGTATTTCAGTGCGTTTTGTCGCGCTGAAAAACGCCCTACGCGCGAAATAGTACTTGAGCTTCTTTGGGGCAGATTACAGCGCGTATCCATTGGACTTCTAAATAGAGATTTTGTAAACGCGCGTCAAACGCATGCTTCGTGGGCATAAAATCGCGCTAAAAACGTGCATAAATACGCGCACATTACGAACGCCCAGGTGTGAACCCAGCCTTAAGGTGGGATAGGATGGGGCTATGGCCGCGAGGGAGCTCCGTCCATACGTGCATTACTCCCTTGTGTGTCATGTAGAGGTGCCTGGACCGGAGTGACATCACGTTCTGGCTCCCGACACCTCTACAGGGTGTGCAAGGGAGCTGTACACGAAGATGCACATATGAATGGAGCTCTGTCACAGCACAGCAGCCCACACTGGACCCCAGGCTGAGGATCCACTCCAGTTCTCGTAAGGTAGGGAGACTGGGTCGATTTAAAAAAAAATAAAAAACATTTTTGGACTTTGTATGTGTGTGTGAGATGGTGTCTGTGGTTGTGTGTGTCTGTCTGTGTTTTTGAGGGCCCGTTCACACTAGTACAGTGCGATAATCTCACAGTCCCGTGCGATTAACACACTGTAACACGCATTCGCACCCACCGCACGTTCTGGTGTGGGAGGTGCATTGCATTGCCATTCATTTGAATGGCACCCCAAACGCATCTCCTACCCACAATTCTATCGCCCGCACCGGAACACATGGTACCGCAATGCCATTCATTCCATTGCAGTGCAACTTGGGTTACAACTTAATGACCAAAGACAAATGTGGGTCCTGAGGTTACACAGGTTGAGAACCACTGCTTTAGATAGCATGGCTGCTTTTGTAATTGAAACACATCTGCATGAGAATTCTACGCAAGGGAGTTCACAAAATGGCTATTTTTTTTACATTCTACTTAGTTCTGTGACAGTTTGAATTCTTTTCCATTTATTTTATCATGACACCACATTAAATAATCTCACCTCTGATTAAAAAATAACCTCCAACAATTAGCACAACTCCAATTGGAGCCAGCACAAAGCCGGCTCTGAAGCGGTAGTTCTTGTACCCGACAAAGCAGATTCCGCTCACAGAGTCGCCATCAACCTGTTGGAACAGGAGAGGGAAAGCTTTAACTAGAGTACTTTGGTAAATGAAGGGTTATTCTACCATCTTACTATTACTCGTATATATTTCCAATTCCATAATAAATATGATAAGATAATAATAACATTGGTTATGAGAAAAAAAAAAGTCTTGCATGATGTGTTGTTTAGGGTAGCTCAGTATAAAGACATTTGCCAATTGTAGAATGGTATCACCTGTGGAATATGTTACATGACAAGAAAAGTGTTTTCTAATACACATATAAATAGTTGCCATGTATAAAATATAGCAGTACATGTATTTCAGCTAAGGTAGCAATGTTCCCTGGGGTAAGCACCTTTTGGTCCAATAACAAAAATATATCCTGGTCGCGTTAAGTGACTGTAGTCCTTTTAATTAGTAAACGTACTGTATATGACACTTTTTACAACCTAAAGTGACACTAAACGCAGGAGTTTAATCTTAAAAGCTCATCCCTGAATTCATGCTGACACCGTCCTTCCTGCTAGAGAGTGGCTACTTTTGTTCCCCATGGACTGTGTGTGTGTTGTAAAGTAGCCATCGCTCCAAATTTGCTCCTATGATAGACTACAATGACACGTTCAGTTTACTAATTTGTATTGAGATTGTAGTCCATCACAGGAGTGAACTTGGAGCGGCGGCTACTTTACAACACACAAGAACCATGGGGAACAAAAGTAGCCACCCTCCAGAAGGAGGGACAGTGTCATCATGAATTCAGAGATGGTTTGAGGATGTACAACCGAGTGACACACAAAAAAGATACACTTTTGTTAATAGTTAAGGTAATTGAAGTAAGATTTAACTCCGGAGTTTAGTGTCACTTTAACATCCAATTGTAGGTTTTCAGCAATTTATACAAATGATATCAGGGAGTTTTAATAGTGTGTGATAAGTGTATTACTGTTTGTTATTTTTGTAATCCTCCCTCGGGCCCTGAAGAAATCTCCTCTTCAGCAGTAAGTTGCTAGGTAAGTACACTAAGCTCTGTGTGAAAGCCGTGGCCTCTCTACATTGGTCTGACATGCTCCATGCTGAGCATGCTGATTGGAGTGCTGCAGGCCTGCCCTAGCATAGGGCATATCCGACTTCTGCAGAGAGACCACTACTCTCACACAGACCACAGCAATAAAACAATTTCTGCTGGGACTGGGGGAGGATTACAAAAATAACAAGCTGTGAGACACTTATCACTTACTATTATCAAATCTATCTGATTTGATTCATAGAAGTTGCTGAAAAACGTCATTGTGTCAAAAACAGTACCACTTTTTCCCTTGATGAAAACCATTTAAAAGTTTGTCTTGAAACAGCCAATGCAAATTATGTATCATGTACAGTAAAATTACAGTTTCAGCATGAACATCTTATTTTTGTACAAGGTTTGTGGAATTTTATAGTTCAATTCTATTGTCAAAATAAAGATTTGTGCTATGATCTTGTATCTTATGGGGTTTTTTTTCGTTCTTTTGGAATTCTAGTGTCTGATGAAAAATAAAGAATTTAAAAAAAGAAAGAAAGAAAGAAAAAAAGATTTCCAAGGGATTGAAGGTAATCTTTGAAGGTAATCTTTTATATGAGATGAAAAATACTAATATCACTGACGAATCCAGAGCAATTTCATATACCCATTACATCAAGTTACAGTAAATACATATATTGTGTACATTGTTACCTGAGCCACTGCAAGGATGGCCACTGTGAGGACAAAGGGAATAGACCACGTGACCAGGTGGAAGTATGAAGTCTTGCCAGAGAGGGGCTGGTGAGTGGTACCCAGGGCTTTAAAGGAGGTATGCCAAGCATATGTCAGCATAACAAACCAGATCACTCCTGACATCATGGAGTAGTAAACAATGACAAAAATAATAACGCAAGAGAGAGTCTCATTTGACCTGAGAATGCAAAAGAACAGAAAAATATAAACATTTACTAAGGCATTTACTGCAATATGAGTTTAAAGCAACCCTGTTGAGATGAGATTCAACTTTGAGTCGAACCTAGATTTGACCCAAACCCAGCCTGTTCACATTCCAGTGAACCACAAAACAAACTGGCACAGATTGGCCAGTTTGCCCACTTGAGACTTTTTAAATTTTTTTTCTAAATGTGTACTATCCCTTAAACCAGACCCATCTAGGCATGCAGCCTCAGTGGCAAGGAAATGGAAGGTAGTGGGCTTGCAGACCCACCTTCCTGTACCATACCAGGCCACATGACATTCAACATTGGGAAGGTACTTTGGGGTTGGGGGACTTTACATTTTTTGGGGGGTATTTTTTAATTTATTTTATATAACTATTTTTTTGAAAATTTTCTTTTTTTTAACTTAACATTATTGCTATCACATGGTGGGGCTCACTAGCCCCCCATGTGATAGCACATTGGAGGTGACAGGTCCTCTTTACGGTGCACTGCAAGTGCTCATTTTAGTCTAGGGCAGGGGTGTCAAACTCAATTTAATCGTGGGCCGCATCAACATTATAGTTGCCCTCAAAGGTATTTGTAAGACTATATAAATGTATCTAATCTTTATCATAATTGCCTCTGCATTCGATTATCACTGGTTTTAGTAATAACTTAATACCTAGATCTGAAAGTAGAAGTCTAGGAAATGGCCTGGTGGGCTGGATTCGGCCCCTGGGCCTTGAGTTTGACACATGTGGTCTAGGGTCTAAAATTAAAACGATATACTCACCCGATCCTTGGTCCCACTTGGCTGCTAGACTGGTCCCCGAGCCTCTTCTACCCCAGGCTCCAGTGGTCTAAGCCTCACTGACGTTATCATGTCTATGCAAGGTCCACTCACTTGTACTAGACATGAGAACTCCTAGGGACATACCACATCCGGAGTGGAGGATGAGAGGGGTGAGCGGTCATCACAGCGGGACCGAGAATCAGGTGAGTGTATCTTCTTTATTATAGACCCTAGACCAAAACAAATGCTTAAAGCATGGAGTGCGGGGGTAGCCCCATTGCAAGGGTTAATTTTCTTAATGCCTAGGGTTGTCATTTAATAATGTGTATTTTATTATAGTAAACATAGCAAAGAATTTGAATATGGGCAAATAGGAATGCTTCCTCTATAGAAAAGGAAGTATTTGGACCTGTCCATGCCTATGTTTTCCAACAAGTGCCTATTACTGCTCTTTAGGAAAGGCTTTGACCTTTGACCCTATCCTTGGCAAATCCTTGCCAGTGATGCCTGAACTGGAAAAGCTGCTTGTAAGAATTTGGCTGTTAATGGGCACTCCAATGTTGTCTGAATTACTCTATTCACAAGCAGTGGCTACTGGAATGGATATCAAAATATATAGGAAAATATAACGCCTTCCAATGATGGATTATTTTGATGTCCACAATGTGCTACATTTCTGGATCCAGGCCAAGGCTCCCAGATCCAATTCAAATCATTTAATATAAAAAATGTTTATTACCTGTAGCAGTGCTTAGCTCACCTTTTGGCTAATAACGCAAGCACTGTTCTGTCAGTGGGCTGTTATGGCAGATTAGTAGAACATTCATAACAATTGACTGGACTTACGTGGGCTCGCCAAGCCTCATGGTGCCATCTCCCCGACAAACAATTTCATTACGAGCACCATCCATAAACTGAGCAAGCCATCCAATGCTGCCCATGAAAAAGCAGGCATTGACATAAAAAAGAATCACAGCAGGGTAGCGGTTAGAGTTTTTCCAGTCTGAGAGAAATGTGGCCTGTCAAAAAAGGGAGGAGAGAAATACACAGTCATGAACAAGAACCATAACAGGTCAATAAGAGCTAGGGTGCTTGCAGACTGGGGATTGAGAGGCATGTCCTAATGCATTAGTCTGTATGGGCCTGATTGGTCAATAAATACAAGTGCAGAACACACTACTCATAGCTAAATTGCAATGAAGGCACGCCACTGCTGCATCTCCTGTTCACATGTGTTTAAGTTACACTAAACTCAAGAGTTACATTTGAATAATAGACTTTTGTTCATAGTTATGGTACTTAAATGCATTGTTAGGATCTAACTCCTTGAGTTTAGTGTCACTTTAATGCAAGTTGGCCATGAGAAGTGTGTACTGCACCAGGGGAACAACAGACAGCAGTTATCTCTAAAGTCATCCACATGGAAGATGTCAAATATATAATTGTTTGTGGAAGGATACACATTCTCCACTGTTCATATTCCTGTACCCGTATGCAGGACATATACTATGTCATTTTTATAATAGTGCGTGAGTATCTCACAGCAATGCAAAACAATACTTTGGTTAGAGAAACATTAGAGCATATAGATACAATTCTGTTGTTAGAATGCACAATCTGCATTTGGAAGGATAATTCAACTCAGGTAAAGAACTTGTTTCCTTTGTGTAAAGTAACAGTCAACAGATCTCATGCACCATATGTTGTGCTTGTTGATCTGCACAACCTTTACATGACTGTGGTTCATTTATGGAGCAAACATGAAGACAGCTGTAAAGAACAACTTCACTTCTCTATAAAGAAGCCAAATGATCCTTTGGTAATACTGTATCTGTAGACTAACTTACCAGTGTAAAAAAGGTACAGAATATGGTGACTGAACTGAATATGGCAATGTAGACATGCATTTCTCGATGCTCCTTCTGGGTAAACAGTGGATTCTCACACTGAATGCCACAGCCTTCCACATCCTCGTACCAGCTTTTAGGGTTATCTGTGCGGACCAAGGGAGCCTCACACTGCCCGGAGCTGTTAAACTTCATGTTTTGCACCTCATTCTGTAAAAAGTATAACAATCATTAATTGAACATCCTTGTAGTCAGGTTAGTTGCGTGAAAAGGTCAGCCTAAGCTACTGAGCTCTGTAAACAAGCTTTTATAGGCACATAAAGGCAGCCTAGAAAACATGAACTTGCCAGCAATCCCTTGCTACTCATTAGAAGACTGCTGCTCATTATGCCAATAAGCCAAAAGGTTTGCAATGCCTGCTCCATCTTGGTGGTACATAGAGCCACTGTGCATACGGTAGGGCCAACCATGCTATAGGTTTTGGGCACCTATTCTGCTATAGCTAGAGAATAGTTTTCAGTATACACTCGGGAGGGAAGCGGGTTTGACACACATGATTGGGCAACCAAACTAATTAGGGGTATGGAGGAACAGAGCTACGCGACGAGGCTACTAAATTTAAACATGTTCGGTGAGGAGATTAAGGGGGGATATGATTTCCATGTACAAAATGTTTAATGGTGGTAGCAACATTAGCGATAAACTGTTTAAAATTAACTCCGTTACAAAAACTAGAGGCCATCACCTAAAATTGATGGAAAAAAAATTCCAGCACAAGGGGCGGAGGGGGATCTTCACAGTAAGATCAGTTAGGGTCTGGAACTCACTGCCACAGGCGGTGATTTCAGCAAAGAATGTGGAATTGTTCAAGAAACTTTTGGACGATTTCTTAAGGGACCGTAATATACAGGGGTACGGGTACTCCTAGAATGAGATCCTAATAGGTTGGACTTGATGGACTAATGTCTTTATTCAACCTCAAATACTATGTAACCGTTGCTCATTATGGAAAGACCATCTGTTGCCACTCCACAACTACAAAAGAAGCCAGCAAAGGCTGATGGTATTACAGGTAAAAATGGTATAACTTTATTATGGACTGGTCCATTACATTTATTTTCTCTATACCTTTTTTTTCCTAAAGCATTATCCCAATGAAGGATTTTTTTTTTTACTTTGCAGGTTTCTTATTTATGCTCATGATTTGCCATACATTTTTATGAAATGTTTGTATCATTTTACTTTTACCCACATCTATTTTTTAGAAACAATATTGTTTAGCCTGTGCTTCACATATGAGTAATCTGCTGTATGTAACCCTTTTTTCATACCTTTGTGGAAGCCTCTACTCCAGGGGTAGTGAATTAAAATTCAAAGAGGTCCAGTTACCCAAATTTTCTTTGAGCCAAGGTTCGACTTGTGGTCCAGACAGAACGGTCACTCAGTCCGTGTCTGCACCATGGTCTGCCATTTAGCACATTTTTTGTTGGAACTTTATTGAAATGTCACAAGTGACATTCCATTACGTTCTATAGGGAAAGTGCAGTGTGATGCCATTGTACTACATCGTGGCTGGCTTCACTGAAAAAAAAGTACAGCCTCCATCATAGTGCCCCTTACATCAGTTGTCCCCATCAGAGAGCCACCTTAGATTAGGTATCCCCTTCAGAGTGCTCCCTTACATTAAGTGCCCCCATAAGTGTGCCCCCTTACATTAGGTGTCCCCATCAGTGTGCCCCCTTACATTAAGGTGTCCCCATCAGTGTGCCCCCTTACATTAAGTGTCCCCCATCAGTGTGCTCTCTTACATTAGGTGTTCCCATCAGAGTGCTCCCTTACATTAGGTGTCCCCACCAGTGTGCCCCCACCCCCCCAATTAGATGTCCCCATCAGTGTGCCCCCTGCTGTTAGGTGTCCCCATCAGAGTGCCCCCTTACATTAGTTGCCGAAATTGGAGTGCCTCCTTACATTAGGATACCTCCATCAGAGTGCCCCCTTACATTAGTTGCTGCCATTGGAGTGCCCTTTTACATTAGATGTCCCCATAAGTGTGCCCCCTTACATTGAATACAAAAATAAGGGAGCACTCTGATGGGGACACCCAATATAAGGGGGCACTCTGATGGGGACAAGCAATGTAAAGGACCACACTGATAGGGACACCCAATAAAATAATTATCCCCATCAGAGTTCCACCTTACATTGCATGTGCCCATGAGAGTGCCCCCTTATTTTTGTAATTAATGTAAGGGCACTCTGACGAGGACAAATAATAAGTAATTGTCCCCGTTAAAGTGCCCCCTTGCACTGGTTGTCCCTAGAGTGCCTCTTTAAAATGGTGCTGTCACATTAACTTAATGGAGGACCTGGTGAAGAGATGGACAAGAGAAGGGAGGACCTGGTGGAGAGATGGACAGGAGAAGGGAGGACCTGGTGGAGAGATGGACAGGAGAAAGGAAGAACCTGGTGGAAAAATGGACAAGAGAAGGGAGGACACAGTGAGAACCTGCTGGCGTTGTACATGACGCTCAGCCAGGACATGTCCTGACCGTCCTCCATTCACAGCTCAGCCAGTGCCCACAGCCCTGGTACCTCCCTCTCTCCCTCTGGCTGATCAGTCCCACCATGCGGCTCAGTCTGTGCACACATTTTCCAGCACCACCTCTTGCAGTGCAGATGCTAGGAGTGCAGCATGGGAGTACAGAAAACGATATTCTTCTGTCCTCCCTTAATGCTGGTGGGAACAAAGCATTGCTTGCTAGGAACACTGCTGTCCTAGCAGCCAATGACTGAGCAGGAGTAGGGACCTGTGCCGGGTTATGGCTGGCTGTGAATGCACCGGCATCGGAGTCTGGCGCATCTACTGTCAGCCAGCCATAACCTAGTTGGCAATCGTGGTCTGGATACAACTGCTACTCAGTCCATATCCGTTTGTCTGCCATTTAGGGACCCCTGCTCTACTCCTTCCTCACACTGCTCTCTATGCTATGGCAATCAGCTACACCATTCTGCACTTTCAGTGTAGCACCAGCGATGGACATGACAATGACATCACTTTCAGCAGGAGCTCTTTCAAACTAACCCATGCTTGCCTCCAGGACTTCTCCAGAGTTTCTCCCATTCTCTGGAACTTACTACCCCCAATCTGTATGGCATCTCCTACTCTGTCTGTCTTTAGGTGATCCGTGGAAACTCATCTCTTCAGGGTAGTGTATCCTGCCCATACCAAACAAGTGAACTTTCACTTTCTCAAACAACTCATCCCCACACAGCTACCACATTTTGTATCACTTGCCCCTTCCTTTTTGTAAGCTCTCATGAATAGGGCCCTCCCAGCCACCTTGTCTTGAATTGTGTAATTATGTACATAGCAGAAAGTTCCACCAGCTGTATACAAACACACAAAGTGCACTTTGTGAATAACTTACACTAAAACACTTAAATTTGATTAAACGATTTGACAGATTCCTGCAGCAGGAATCCCAAATCTGCCGTGTACAAGTGGCAGATGTCACCCATTCAAGTTAATGATCGGGTGACAGCGACTGCATTTCAAAGCGGCAGAACGCCAACACACCACATGTAATCGTATGTGATACGATTACATGCGGTTAGGAAACAATCACTATCCCTGGACGCACAATGGATGGGTCCAGGGATAGTGATTGATACCTATGTAATCATATTACACATGCGGTGTGCCAGCTTTCTGCCACTTTCAAATGCGGCTGTTGTCACCCGATCATTAACTTGAATGGGTGACTTTTGCCGCTTGCAGCAGATTTACAGTAGTAAAGCGTGAGCGACAGCTGGCTCTGCCTATCTAGAGGCAGAGCCAGCTGTACCCGCCCCCTCTCCCGTCCGTTCTGCCAGTCAGCGCTGGCAGATCAGAGCGGGCAGAGGGGAATCCAGCCTCTCCCCCTGTCACAGCAGAGAGCCGTGACAGGATCGAGAGGTGAGCGAACCCGGTATGTGTTCGCTCACCTCCCGATCTACTGAGCCGACCGGTGACAGTCTCATTGTCACAGGTCGGCTAGAACTATGAGGTGAGTGGAAATCACTCATCTCATAGTTCTCCTTTAATAATTTACAGTCACATGTTTAAAAAATAAAAGGTAATCCTATAATCACAATCCTAAAAAGCATTTTAGTTTTTTCAACATACACATAGATATTTACGAAGATAAACTTACCGGACAGCCCTCTGGGAAGCGATCTGTGGTGCACTTTAGAAAGTCTGGCCAGCCCCTCTCCCGCTCTACAATGGCGCAGGGGCCGCGTGTAGCCTGACATAGGCCTTGACTTGGAAGCTCTACTTTGCCTCCTTCGCACTTTGGCATGTACACAGCACATAGTAGAGGTTGTATGGCCTCCCAGCAACGTGGGGCATTCCTTAAGCCTAAAACAAAAGAATAAACACATTAGTTGTGGTGAAACTGGCAGGACACATTGATCCACAGACCCTATACTTTATGTAGCTGGAACAGATGGTGATCTCTACAAAGTACACACTTCTCTATCCACTGGAAAATGACACCTAAAACATGTGGAAGAATTGAATTTATTCTGCTTTGCTGTATAATGTATTGCTGGGATTTGTAGTCCTCTGTAGCTGATTGCCATTCGGCATTGCTGTATAATGTACTGCTGGGATTTGTGGTCCATTATAGCTGATGGTAATATAATATCATCAGTTATACAGGACTACAAATCCCAGCAATGCATTATACTGCAATGCAGAATAATATGCAGCTACATACTCTGTGCTGCTCCAGGGTGCCGGTCTGATGTCTCAAGCAGAGCATCTCGGGAGGGCAGTGGAAGGTCTTAGGAAGGCTGTGGAGGATCTCAGGAGGGCTGTGCAGGGTCTCATTAGGGGTCCGGAGGGTCTCGTGGGCGGCAGAAGTGATGTAAGCAGAGCCGCTTGGTTCCTCGGTAAGGAGGAACCAATCTGCCGCTCTGCTCCAAGGTGCCGGCCTGATGTCTTGGGCGGAGTGTCTCAGGAGGGTAAGATGCGTGTGCTGGCGGAAGCGCCGTAAACAGGCGCCACATGGTTTCCAAGAAGGCTACCGCTTCAATTTGAAAATTTAAAAGCACCGGTTTTTGGTATCAGGGCATTTTCACGAGTACGAATATTCGTGGAAGTGCCCAGTATCAGAACCGATACCAATACTGGTATCGGTGCATGCCCAATTCCTACTATAAATTGCTGTGGACATCACACTGATAATAGAAATTACAGGGACGCAAGCCAAATGGTTTTGATAAGTCATGTTTTCAATAATACGTTTCAATTGGAAATACTTTGACATGATCCTCATATTCACGTTTTACGTTTCCAAAATAGGTGAAGTGGAACAAGTCATCTCACCTAATCTTTAAACCCACTCAAATTATTTCGAATGGACGCAATTGCTTTCCAAATATGATATCATCATCAAACTATATCATTTACAGATCAGTGATGTCATTTCGTGCTGTAAATTTTAAGCGTAATAATATCACAACAGTGGAATAATTTGCCATACAAGTAATCCTAAAAGTTTTCCGTGATACAATTCACAGCTGTAAATGCAAATACATCTGGCTATTATGACAACGTTATCTATTTTATATTGATGTGTGAAATGTTAGGAAATATGTAGCTGGTTACTGTTCTATTAAAAGATTTTAGAGGCCATCTTGGACAGGGAAGACCTGAAGCTGTATATTTCTATATTTGACAGCATGGGTACATTACACATACACAAACTGAAAACTGTATTCGGCATGGAGAGCCTGTGTGTGTTTCTTGCCCTGTGGAATGTGTTGCTCTATATAGAAGCTATGTTTTATTTTAGTATAGTACTTGTGCCGAGGTGTGTGTTGGCGTCTGAGCATATAGCCGGAATGCAAACAAAAAGCCGTCTGCAAACATATCCAAGGTGGAACTCTTTGGCTACATGAAAAGCTGGTAATAATGAGCCCGATTAACAGAATTTTGGGACTCTTGGAACGCAAGACACATATGTGGCCTTGTGTCAGAAATCACAACTATGTTCCCGGATTCTTCCTTTCACGTTACCAATTACAAAGGAGTAATGAAATAGAGTCTCATTGGTAGTTATGTATTATACAGGGCAATTTTTATTTAGGACAATTTGACAGGTACTTGTTAAGCATCTGTCTAGAAGTAGAATATAATTGGTTGTAAATAAACTATAGAATGTATTATAGTGGCTTTGTGAAAATTGGAATATTTGACAATGATTCTGTTGGCAAAAAATCTTTCCTTTTTGATCAAGATTTTTAATATAGACCCTAGCATGTCCCTTTTAGTAACAGTTGAGCATCTACAAATATATGTAAATGGACAAGCATCCATTTACATCCAGTTGCCCCCAATCCGGCACAATCAGATATGCCGAAACTGATCCCTGATCCATTTGTTTTTCTGGACTTGGCTGGAGCCAGGGGTAACTGAATGTAAACGGACACCCATCTGTTTACATACAGCTTCCCATAGACTAACATCAGGCATCCGATCAGGTCCATCTGAAAAACTGACAGGCGGACCTGATTGGAAAGCCCATGTAAAAGAGGCCTTATAGCTCTACCCTCACTGCCTGCTGTAGTTTAAACCTCAGATACATTTTCTATTAGGATTTTTGGACATATTGGTACATGTTTGGGCTGGGCTCAGATTTCATACATGCATTTGGGACTTGCCAGTGTGAGTCACAAAGTATAATAAATGCCAAAAAACAAACAAACAAGAAAATGACTATCAATTGATAACATTTTATGATGATCACTTGTAGTGGTGCTAAATAAATATAATCATTATGATGAAAGAAATATGCTTGCAGTACCTTCTTCTCTTCTTGTAGTGGACAGGGATCTTACTGTTGCACCACGTGTGAGCACTTTCATAATATAATCATTTTGATGAAAGAGGAAACTGATTGCACTGAATGGGTGGCTTAGATTAGATTATAATGTGTCAAATGTTCTATCAATCTATAATTTATCATTACGTGCATGACCAAAAGAGTAAGGCTTCATTCACACTATTTGGGATTCCTGTGGCAGGAGCCTACAGAATCATGCCACAGGATTCCCAAATGTCCCGTTTAACTGCGGCCGCTGTACCAAAGGCCACCATCAGGGGGGTTTGGCCAATACCCATGTAAGTGGCCTGGGCAGCCTGGGGGACCTGGGAAGCCCCAGCCCACTGACAGTGGAGGAGGTGGAGGAGGCCAGGGCCCAGCAGCGCCAGTCCAGCGGCGGAGGAGGCTGGGCCCCAGCAGCGGAAGGTAAGGAACTGCGTGTGTAGGGAAAGGGACATCGACCAGCCCACCTGAGATCCTGCAGAGCCCACCATAAAGTCTCAGATGGGCTGTGCAGAATCTATGGTGGGCTATGCAGGCTTACTCTCAGATGGGCTGTGTTGGGTCTTGGGTGGACTCTACAGGATCTCAGGTTGGCTCTGTGGGGCCTCAGGTGGGTCCTGAGTCCAGTGCGTTACTAAGCCCAGAGTCCAGTGCGTTACTAAGCCCAGAGTCCACGGCGTTTCCTGAGCCCAGAGTCCAGGGCGTTACTAAGTCCAGTGCGTTACTAAGTCCTGAGCGTTACTAAGTCCAGAGCGTTACTAAGTCCAGAGCGTTACTAAGTCCAGAGTCCAGAGCGTTACTAAGTCCAGAGCGTTACTAAGTCCAGAGTCCAGAGCGTCACTAAGTCCAGAGTCCAGAGCGTTACTAAGTCCAGAGCGTTACTAAGTCCGGAGGCTAGAGCGTTACTAAGTCCGGAGTCTAGAGCGTTACTAAGTCCAGAGCGTTACTAAGTCCAGAGTCCAGTGCGTTACTAGGCCCAGAGTCCACTGCGTTACTAGGCCCAGAGTCCACTGCATTACTAAGCCCTACGTCCACTGCGTTATTAAGCAGAGTTCAGTGCGTTATTAAGCAGAGTCCAGTGCGTTATTAAGCAGAGTCCAGTGTGTTACTAAGCCCTGAGTCCAGTGCGTTACTAAGCCCCGAGTCCAGTGCGTTACTAAGCCCCGAGTCCAGTGCGTTACTAAGCCCTGAGTCCAGTGTGTCACTAAGCCCTGAGTCCAGTGCATTACTAAGCCCTTAGTCCAGTGCGTTACTAAGCCCTGAGTCCAGTGTGTTACTAAGTCCAGTGCGTTCATAAGTCCAGAGTCCAGTGCGTTACTAAGTCCCGAGTCCAGTGCGTTACTAAGTCCAGAGTGTTACTAAGTCCAGAGTCCAGAGCGTTACTAAGTCCAGAGTCTAGAGCGTTACTAAGTCCAGAGTCCAGTGTGTTACTAGGCCCAGAGTCCACTGCGTTACTAGGCCCCGAGTCCAGTGCATTACTAAGCCCTTAGTCCAGTGCGCTACTAAGCCCTGAGTCCAGTGCGTTACTAAGTCCAGAGTCCAGTGCGTTACTAAGTCCCGAGTCCAGTGCGTTACTAAGTCCAGAGTCTAGTGCGTTACTAAGTCCAGAGTCCAGTGCGTTAGTAAGCACTGAGTACAGTGTGTTACTAAGTCCAGTGTCCAATTCATATACTGTTCTGCATTGCTGTATTACAGGGGCGCCCTGTAATACAGATCTACTGGAGATCTACTTTTCAAATGATGAGCTCAATGAGGTCTACCTACGAAAAAACACCTGCGTTCAGGGGCGGGGTGGTGCATTGAAGTCAATGGCACTGCAGCCAGGCCCCTCGCCCACAGTGCGATCGCCTGCACCCACAACCCAGGCACATTAGTGCCTGCATTCCGGTCCAGTGCGATCCACAAAAATGCTGCAAGCACTATTTTTGCAGATCACACTGGACCAGAATGCAGGCACTAATGTTCCTGCATTCTGGGTGCGGGCGATCGAACTGTGGGCGGGGGACATGGCTGCGATGCAACCCCACGCCCCCTCCCGCCCCTGAACGCAGGGAGTCGGCCGGCTTGCATTCCATTGCGTTCTAGAGGCGCCGGTGTCCTATCCTCCCGCGGTGCTCGTGTGTCCGACGTTGCACGCGGGGAGAGGTGTCCTGCCCCTTTCTGTCTGCCGGGTCTGACACATTCAGCCAGCACCCGCACGAGCAACGCGGGAGCATAGCCATAGCCAGCTCCTTTTGCGCACGTGGCAAGAAAAACAAGGTGCCCCCCAACAGGCGTGTGACATCACCCAGCACCCTGCCTCCAGGATTTTTTTATTAGGGGTCTAAACAGCCCCCTGATATTTCCCTTTTAAAATAGAAAAAGAAATTGAGGACACAAAGTCCTCAATCTCTTTTTCTGCAGCCTCTGTTCTAAAGGAATGGAGAGCACAGAGGCTTCCCATTCATTCAGAAAATATTTACTATCACCAGTTTCTGAATGGGGAGGAGCCTCTGTACAGAGTGCTTCTCCCCATTGAGAAACTCATGAATGAACAGGAAGTGATGTAAATCACATCCTGTTCATTCATACCTGGGGACACATAGTACTATGTTTCATCCAGTTATTTACAAACACTGGAGTGATCAGCTGATCGCTCCAGTGTTTGTCCTGCACAGAGGATTGGTAAACATCACTGATATGTACCGATCCTCTGCCGCTCGGCCACGCACA